TTAGGATTAATTAGGTTTTTATTATTAAATTTTGTTTAGTTAATTAGTTTTAATATTCATTTTCGTTGGGTTAATTGGTCCTTAATCATGTTTTAGTCTGAGTCTCACATTTGGGCCATTATCCATTTCGTGAGGCCCAGATCAAGTCCAGAATTTTGCCAGGTGTTGTATAAATGCCATGCCACGCGTGCAATTCAGGGTTAGCCACTTCATCCACTCACTGACAACACACACTCCACTATCTCCTCTCTGATCACACGTGTCCTTCCCTAATTCTCCCTCTGTGACACTTGTCTTGCCCTGAACACTCACCGCCACCACCCACTGCATGCGAGCGCCACGTGTTTTCCACCAATCATTCATCGCCGGAACCCATGTAAACGCTGCCGGACCACCGCCTCTCCGCCGCAACCGTCATCGGAAGTTGTTGAGATCACCGGAAACTGGAAATTTTTTCCAGATCTTTCTATCCTCACTAATCTTCTCCATCGTCGCTCATCCACTTCCTCGCCGGAAAACTCAAGATCGCCGGAATCTTCATCAGTGTTCAAGAACACATTTTCCAGAATTTGCCAGATCTTCATCATTCTTCAGCTCCAGATTTCAACAGTTCGCAGAATCTTCAGGCGTGTTCTTCATCCGTTCAAGACCTTTCTTCAGGTTCTTCAAGAATTCCGTTGTAGACGTCCTCGCGTGTTCTTCAACGATCTCTTTCCAGATTGCGTCAAAATTTCAAAGATCTTCATCCAAGAACACCGTCGCGCGTTCTTCAGTGAGCTTTATCCCAGGTTTTCGTCAGGATCTTCATAGATCTTCTTTGAGCTTCAACAGCGACCTTATTCATCCGTAGATCCTCTCAGCATCATCATCCAGGTTTCTTTTCCTTCTCACCTAATTCATTGCATGTTCGTAGTAGGCTGGTTAGTTGTAGATTTAGGTTTTGAGGATAATTAGGTTGAAATGATTAGGTTAAACCCTTGTGTCTCGGTTTGAATATCAATATTTTGTGAGGCGAGTAGGTTAGGGATTATTGTTTTTGAACTAAGTTTTGAGGGACTAATCGTTGTTAATGGCGGATTGTTGAAGAAAGTTGCTGGCGTTGGATTTGAGAGTGAAGTTTGTTGTTCGATTTAGGAGATATTGTTGGTTTCAGAGAGAGGTTGAGGTTGGGGGATCTGCGCCGTTTAGGGTTTCGCTGAGGAAGGTGAATAGTAGTAGTGAGGGAATGTTAGTAGAATTAGGGTTTAGTTTTTACTAATGCTGAGTGTGGATTGGGTCAGGGCCTTAGGCCCATTGTGCTTGCTTAATGATCCTACTCCCCGTTTCCCATTGGCACCCCCGCTCCCATCTGTGTTGTGTTCTGGGCCTTAGGCCATTTTGCTATTCGCACCCCCCAGTGGGAGGCCCAATGTGTTTAACAAAGCGAACCTTTGCTATTCGCCCCCCCTGTTTGTATGTTCTTTGTTTTTTTTCTTTTCTTTCTTTGGTGTTTTTCTGAAGCAGTCTGGGCCCAGCGCAGTATGATATCTGCACCCCCTTTCTGGGCCCAATGTACTTCTGCATTGTAAATAATGGCTATTTGCCACGCGTTATTTTCCATTTTTATTGATTTTCATTTTATTTTCATGTTTGCATATAGTTTACTCAAGAAATCATATTAAATTCAAAAATAAGTTTTTTTACATGGGAGTTTTTGCTCCATTTTCATTAATGTCTCAAGACAATTATAGAAAAATAAAAGGCTTAATTGCAATTTTGGTCCCCCTATTTTGTGTTTTTTTGTGTTTTGATCCCCCCATTTTAAAAACCATGATTTTGGTCCCTTTTTTAGGTTTCAAGATTAATATTAGTCCCCTTGTCACTTTAAGTCATGTTTTTAATGAGGTGGCGCTTTGAATGCTGATGTGGCATTTCCATGTCAATTAAAATGATTTTTTTTAATTTAATATAATTTCCATGTCATTAACTTAAATATTATTTCATTTTTACAAATTTAATAAAATAAAATTTAATTATAAACATTATTTCATACCCAGTACCCATTATTTCATTTTGACATTAACGTACAAGGTGATCTTCAAACAATGAACAAGGTGAATCCAGACCTTCAAACAACGGTTCATCTTCAAACAACGTAAACAACTCACTTCAAATCCAAACCTTCATTTTCAAACCGCTTCAGAATCCAGTTCATCTTCAAACCGCAGTTCTATATCATTGTAACCTTCATTTTCATCTTCTTCTCATTGTAACCCAAACCTTCATTTTCATCTTCTTCCCGTTGTAACCCAAACCCAGTTCTATATCAAACCGCAGCTCGCTTCAAATCAAACTGCAGCTCGCTTCCCGTCGTCTCTGAAATGGCAAATCGAAGTTACGTGTCAAGGTATGTTTCGTAACTCACCTCTGAATACAAAAACCCTAAACACGCAAATGGCGTTTATGTTCTATCATAGCATATGAATTGTTAATACCAACTCCCGATTTTATATATGGTTTAATTCAGCTGCTGTTTTTTTTGTAGGCCCTCTGATACGGAAGCTGTCAGATTTAGAGTACACCATAGGGGACATTTAATTCAGAGTCCAGTTCTGTTGTATGTTGATGGGGTTGTAAGTGAAATGAATTGGGATTGGGATGCGGACTTGATGTCCTACATGCAAATTGAAGATTTGATCAAGAGTGAGGGGTATCGTAATATAAAGTGTTTATGGTATTGGAATCCTAATTTCTCCTTTTCTCGTGGACTTCGGCCTCTTAAGAATGACAATGATGTCTTAAGGTTAATGGAGGATGTTAGAGGATTTAAGGTAGTTGATCTTTATGTTGAACACAAAGTTGAAGAAATAAGTATTGAGGATGTTATTTTTGAGGAGGATAATGGTGAAAAAGGAAATGGTGAAGGAGCAAATGATGAAGAGGTTAATGTTGAGGAGGATAATGGTGAAAAAGGCAATGGTGAATGAGAAAATGATGAAGAGGTTAATGTTGAGGAGGATAATGGTGACAAAGGCAATGGTGAAGGAACAAATGATGAAGAGGTTAATGTTGAGGAGGATAATGATGTTAGCGTTGATGAAGAGGTTAGAATTGATGACGTAGATGACGAGAGTGAAACAGATCCAGATTATAGCATGGGCAGTGAGGATGACGAAGATGAAGATTTGGAAGATGAAATTGATGTGATGAATTTAGGTGTTGATGCTAGTATAAATTGGAAGACCGTTTTACCCAATGCAGAAAAACCTTCAAAGTTGGATGATAATTCCGATAATGGTAGTGATTCAGATGTGCTTCAAACTCCACCCGATAGTGATGCTGAAGGTGATACAACAAAGTTTCCAATCTTTAGGGAACCCACACAACTTGAAGTAGGGATGATGTTCAAGGATAAACAACAAATCAAAGATGCCATAAAGGAGTATGCTATGGAGAACAAGAAGAATCTTGTATTTAAGAAAAATGACAAGAAGAGAATGGTTGTCAAGTGTGTAGATGGTTGTCCATTTCATATTAGGTTTAGCATGAGGACTACCAATCAATATTGGCAACTTGTTAGCTTGACTGATTGTCATGGCTGTCATAGGACAACCAAAAATAGACAAGCAAAAATGGATTGGTTAGGTCGCCAATTTGTGTACACCATAAGACACACTCCTGAAATAAAAACCAAAGGGCTGATTGCAGAAGCTATTAAGAAGTGGGGGGTGAAGTTGTCAAAGGATCAAGCTTACAGAGCCAAGAAAAAGGCAATGGAATTAATTCAAGGTGTTTGTCGTGAACAATTCACACACCTTAGAAGCTATGGTGAGGAGTTGTTAAAGTCAAATCCAAACTCCACTGTTAAAATTAAGTGTGCTGATTCAGATGGTGGTCCTGTCTTTGAAAGAATATATGTATGCTTAGAAGCTTGTAAGGCAGCGTTTGCAACGACGTGTAGGCCTCTAATAGGACTGGATGCTTGTTTTCTTAAAGGGGACTTTGGAGGTCAGTTAATAGGTGATGTTGGTAAGGATGGAAATAACAAGATTTATCCAATCGCTTATGCCGTAGTGGAAGCTGAAACGAAAGACTCATGGAAATGGTTCCTTAATTTGTTATTAGAAGACTTACAATCTATACAAGACAACAAATATGGATTTATATCAGATCAACAGAAGGTTAATTATAACTGTTATATACAATGTTAAGACTGTTAATTATACAATGCTGATTTGATATATGTTGTTGTTGTTGCTGTTAACTTGATATATGCTGCTGCTATTGTTAATTTGATATATGTTGTTGTTGCTGTTAACTTAATATATGTTGCTGTTATAACTTGATATAATTTGATATATTTTAACAATGTTGTTGCTGTTATAACTTAATATATGTTGCTGTTATAACAATGTTGGTGTGGTACTTATAATTTGATATATGTTGGTGTGGTGCTTATAACAATGTTGGTGTGGTGCTTATAACAATGATACATGTTGCTGTTAACAATGCTATATGTTAACAATGTTGTTATAACTTGATATAACTTGATAATGCTATATAATTTGATACATGTTGTTGTTAACAATGCTATATAATTTGATATATAATTATAACAATGATACATGCTGCTGTTATAATTTGATCAAGTTATATAATTATAACAATGATACATGCTGCTGTTATAATTTGATCAAGCAAGTTATATAATTATAACAATGCTATATGCTGCTGTTATAACAATGATACATGCTGCTGTTAACGATGCTATATGTTAACAATGTTGGTGTGGTACTTATAATTTGATATATGTTGCTGCTGTTATAACTGTTATATACTGATATATGCTGTTATTTCAGGGATTGGTACCGGCTATTCTTGAGACAAGCCAACATGTTGAACACAGACTATATGTTAAACACTTGTATGGCAATTGGAGAAAGAAATATCTGGGGATACTTATGAAGGAGGCTTTATGACGGGCAGCTAGAGCCACAACAATTCCTGCATGGGAAAGAGCAATGAATCATATGAAAGAGCTCAATGTCAATGCTTGGAAAGACATGATGGATGTCCCAGCTGCATGTTGGACTCGGTCTCATTTCAAAACAGACACACAATCTGATTTGCAAGTCAACAACATGTGTGAGGCTTTTAATCGTGCAATCTTGGAGTATAGAGATAAGCCGATCATTTCACTACTTGAAGGAATCAAACATTACATAACAGTGAGAATATCTGCTCAAAAGGAGAAATTAAGTAGGTACACAGGTGTTACAAGTCCTAGCATTCAAAAAGTCTTGGAAAAAACAAAGAGGGCAGCAGAAGGATGGATTGCAACATGTCATACAGATGATGACTTTGCAATATTCGGAGTTTCAAACGGTGTTGAGACATATGCTGTGAACTTGCTTCAACAGAAATGTGGTTGTAGGAAGTGGGATTTAAGTGGAATACCATATTGTCATGCTATTGCATGCATATGGTATAACAAGAAGGAGCCCGAAGATTATGTTTCATCATTCTATAGGTATCACCTACTCGTATATTATGTTCATTTACATTCATAGGTATCACCTACTCGTATATTATATTTTGTACGTTAACTAAAATCATTGTGTCATATTTGTTGCACCCTAAAATTTGACCAACCGGTTCCCATATATGGTTTATGTTTTGACGCATTTTGCATTCGCATTCGTATACGGCATGTATTGCATTGTTATCAATCGAGATTGATTTTTATCAGGATTATAGCCCCTGGCGTTTCAAGCAGTACATGCCAGTCAGAATAAAGTTTGTTCGTTCCCTGTGTTTTCAGGCCATCTCGGTGCCCGGGTTTTGCTACGGTTGCGTAATCGGTTTAATCGGCTTCCTGGTATTTTTAGGATTTTTTCTGTCTTTTTTCTGGAGTTTTAGTGCATTTAATGGATTTTTCTGGATTTATTAAAGTTTTTTAATATTTTTTTATTTTTATTTTTAGAGTTTAAATAAATTTTCTTTTCATTTTTTAGAAATTAATAGATTTTTAAAGTTTTTAGATATTATGGTTTTGTTTTAAATTTTAGAGATTAATTTTCTTTTTTAATAGATAAATAGTTTGTTCCTTTCTTTTAAAAAGAGTAGATAAAAGAAAAATAATAAATAGATAGTGGTTTGTTTAGAGTTTATTGTAAAAAAAAAGAAGAAGGAGATTTAATAGAATAAATAAAAAAAAATATAGAGAGTAAATGGGTTTTTTAGATTTTTTGTTTTTTTTATTTTTTCAGAATATTAATTAGGATTAATGGGTTTTTTAGATTTTTTGTTTTTTTTATTTTTTCAGAATATTAATTAGGATTAATGATAGTTTTTTTTAGATTTATTAGATTTAATTAGGTTTTATGTTCTTTATTTTCGTTTTTGAATATTAATTAGGGTTTTTTTAGTTTAAATTTGTTAATCAGATTTTAATTATGTTTTAAGTCTAATCCATCATTAAGCCAATTGGGCCCAGTATATCCATTATCAGAGTCCATTGTCCAAAGCCCAGAAATTCAAGTTCAGGTCCATTTTCGAAGTGCCACTTGTCATATAAGTAGGCATGCCACGCATACACTCTCTTCTTCTTCCACCTCAATTCTTCTCTCTCCCCAGAGCTGCCACGTTTCCACTTCACTCTCTCTCTCCACTGACATGCGTAGCACCTTCACCACACGTGTCTCGCCCTCATCACTTCCCTCTGCCACCTGCCCCTCGCCGGACACTCCTACCGCCTGCCATGCAATCGCCTTGCCTAACCACCTCCAACCACCAGAGCTAACTCCGACCACCGTCAACCGTCGCCGGAGCTGCAAAAAGCCCAGTTTTTCCAGAAAACCCTTCGATCTTCATCTTCCTCCTCCGATCCACCTTCATCAACCATCTGTTTCCCGAGCTTCATCATCAGAATTCATCAAAATTTCCTCAATCTTCAACCAGATTATTCCAAGATCTTCCACCGTTCATACATCGTTCTCCAAGATCATCACGATAATCTCCAGATTTGTCGCCGAAATCTTCATCAACCACGATCCAGAATATTCAACATTCAACCGGTGTTCTTCTTTTTTCCAGAAATCGTCAAGTTTCTCCGTGGACCTTCGTTGTGGTCGTCGATCTTCATCAAGTTTGTGAAGATTTTTCCAGAAATCTTCAAACGGGGCCAAGAACGTTCAATCCTCAAGATCTTCAAAGGGATCTTCACCAGAAATCGCTCCAAGCTTCGTCTGGGATCAAGAACCGTCACCGTGTGGGTCATCTATCCAGGTTAGTGCTTCAAATCTTTCATGTTTCGTTGTTTCTTGCGTTGATTAGCTAGAGATTAAGGAGATCGGCGTTTGCTCGTGAGCAAAATAGGTTAGGGTTTGGTATTCTAGATTGAGAGATTGAAGGAGGTTTTTGTGGATAACTGATCCTGGTGAGTATTTGGATGAAGGGATTTGGTATGAGTTTGCTTGAGATCGTTGGTTGATTTGGTTCAGAGGAGAAAGTTGCAGAGAAAGGGTTTGGGCATGAGGGCGCCGTTAGGGTGTCAATGTGTGACGAAGATGAACAGTGTTAGGGATATTAGAGGTTTTAGGGTTTTGCTGATTGTGAGAGTGGATCCGGGCTTTAGGCCCAATGGCGTTGCTGAACCATACTCCCTCTGTTTCCATTCGTACCCCCTCCCCTTTGGTTTGAATATTGTTTGGGCCTTGCAAATTGCTGTTGGCACCCCCCGTTTAGAGGCCCAAGCGGATTAACAAGTGAAGCATGGCTATTCGTACCCCCCCTGGGTTTTTTTATTTTTGTTGTTTTCTGATTAAGACCTGGGCCCAGCGTAATTACTGATTGCACCCCCCATCCTGGGCCCAACGTTAATTCTGAATTGTAAATAATGCTCCTAGCACCCCCCCCCCCCTGTTTTTTTTTCATTTTAGTTGAATTCCTTTTTTTTCCCATATCATTTGCATATAGTTTAAATAAATCATACAAAATCAAAAAATGATCATTTTACTGTAGGGATTTTTTCTACATTCCAATAATTGTATGAAGAAAATTATAATAAAAATAAAAATATTATTCTAAGCATTTTCCTATTTTTAGTGATTTTTGCATTTAATTGCTTTTATGTTCATTATGGTTGTACATACATTTTGTTGAATTTTGTTTAGGCATTTCTTTCCACATTTTGATCCCGTTATTTTTGTGCTAGCTAGATTAGAGCATTAAGTTCCCTTAGAGATTTATTTCACATTTTTGTGATTAAATCTTGATTAGTTTTGATTAGAGAACGTTAGGTTAGTATAATTAGGGTTTAAACTCAACATAGGTGCATTCTAACATTTTATTTTGGGCTTTTTTAGCATGAATTAGGTTATGGTATATATAGGGTAGATATAGAACTCCCCTTAGAATTAATCTTAGAATATTAAATACTATTTTACTATTTTTAGTATATTTTGCAAATTGTGTGATTGTTTGGTGTTCCCACTTGGGGTTTTTGTTTGTCTACTTGGGCTTTTGGGTTTTCATTTGGGGTATGGGCTTGGTGTGGGCTTGTGGAAGCATGAAGACATCAAAGGATAAGATTGAGGATGATAATCAAATGTTGAAGCTTGAAGATCGCTTGAGCTTGGAGCTGATCGAAGACTTAGGAGAAATAGGAGCAAATAGGCAGAGCCTTAGAATAGACCAAATTTTTTTCACAAACATGGATAGCTTCCTGTGCTTCCATTCCTCTCTATGACATAAAGTCCCTCTGTGGTATTCACCTCCCTCCTTTGGAGGGATAAGTGGTTGTATCTAAGAGGTGGAACTTTGAGGGAAACAGTCTGTTACAATGTCAACTGTTTATAGGCTTCCTTTGGTTGTCAATGAACTGTTTGACATGCAATTTATTCTGATAAATCAATTCTCATCTAGGAGAGCTTGCCTTGAAGAAAGAAGCCATTGAAGATAGGGATGAAGATCAAAGATTGACAAAGATGCAGTTTGTTCGTGTCAAAGCTGTGCAACTGTTAAAGTTAGGGTTTACTGTTGTTGGAGCTATCTGTTGCTGTCAACTAGTTAAGGTTCTGTGCTTGCTTGAGCTGGTGATTTCTTGGAGATAGAATCTTGTTGTAGCTTGGGGTACCATTGGAGTTTGATTTTAGAAGTTCAATTGGAGCTGGTGGGCTGTCAGGGCTGAGTTTTTGGGGTTTTATTTTTCTTTGTTGTATTGTTTGTTAATTTTCCCCTTGAGGTTGAGGTGAAGCTGTTTCACCTTGCTCATTGTTTTCTAGGTTCGAGGTTGAGTGAGACTCCCTTGCCTCGCTTGTACTGCTACGTTCATGCATTTTACCGCTTTACTGTACATATGTTGTTGCTTTTCCGTTTATCCCTTAGGATCTCTGTTTCTCTCTGCGCAAGAAAGGAATATGACAGACATTAGGTTCTCATCCATGCATGACAACATTAGGGTAGATTTTGATTCCCTTTTCAACCATAGGGTTTTAGAGTTCTTTCTCTCCTCATCTCAAAAACAATCAAAAATACAATAAAAGGATAAACATCAATAAAAAACAGTTCTTGCGTAAAAGACTGTAAACCAACCAAAGAGTCATTTTTGTCCGCTTGGACGCGTAATCAGAAGAAAACCTTTTTCAGAAGGATAAAAACAATCAAGACAGACTTGTGTCATACGTGGCCCAAACTACGTTTGCTCTGATCTTTCATGCTATATGAAAGTACATAGGCATAGGATGCGATATCCTAGCGAGCAACCTTCCCCTCCTTTCCCGTAGGTAGGCGAACTACGTTGACTCTGATTTCTCGTTCCAGACGGGAATACGTAGGCATAAAATGCGATACTTTGCCGAGTCATTTTATTTTCTTTTAACCCCAGACCTGTAGAATAGATAGAATAACAATCCGTACTAGAAAACAAGCGTGGATCCCGTCGAGTACGACGGACGTGAGGGGTGCTAATACCTTCCCCTTGCGTAACCGACTCCCGAATCCAGGATTTGGTTGCGACGACCATTCCTTTCCCGTCTTTGCAGTAGGTTTACTTCGAGCGTTTCCTTTCCCTCCGTTAGGATAAATAACGCATGGTGGCGACTCTTCTGTTCAGCCGGCGCCGATTTTCGCAGTAGCGACAGCTGGCGACTCTGCTGGCGACTCCAACGGTTCCCTACGCGAGTCAATCCTAGCGCTTGTTTTCCCGTCGTGGATTTTGTATGGATTTACGTTTTCTGTATTTTACATTCAGCATTATATTATTGTTATTATTGCTGTGGGTATGAGGGGGCTCTATGATTGAGAGATAAGTCGGACCTGGGCTTGAGTGCACCTAGAATTAGAGTGGAAATTAGTGGGCGCGTGCATGCTTTGCATGTACTAGTGTCTCATGAAATCCACGCTCAGACGAGGTTCTTCTGGTTGGCTTCTTTTTCAACCCTTTGGGTTGAAGGGGTTGTTGGTTAGTTGGATTGTCGACTCTGGGGACCGATCATTTGGAAGTTGGCTAAGTGAGGCCTCTTCAGGACATGATGATGCCACACCTTCTGGGTATCATATCATCCGTCTT